TTGAGTTAACAATGAGGTGTTAATGTTACTGTTTTGATAGATATGTTGTCACGACCCCAACCCCGGTCGTGATGGCGCCCAACACACTGCTAGGCAAGCCCGACCAATTCAACAACCTTAACCTTTTTTATACAGTTCATGATTCAATTAACATAAATAATTACTAAGTTATAATACTGAAACTCTGAAATATAACTAAAACATGCGGAAAACCCAAGTAGAAATACTACTACACAGCCCGAAGAATCCGGTGTCACAAGTCTGAGCCTCTAATACATGAGTATCAACCTACTACATATCGTTCTCTAGAAATGCGGAAATAAAGCAAATAAGATAGAAGGAAGATCAGGACTGCGAACGTCAAATGCAGCTACCTTGAAACTTCCAGATATGATGCTAGGCAGAGAAGTCCTCACACAGCCTCAGGTGTACCTGGATCTGCACGCAAGGTGCAGGGAGTAATGTGAGTACTCCGACCCAGTGAGTAATAAACATAAATAAAGGCTGAGAATAAGAAATCCTGAATAGGCACAAAGTAATTCTATAAATACAGCAACTTGAACCCAGTAGTATAAAATCAGTAAAATTAGTGAAAACAATTATGGAAAATCCCATAACAGATAAATAATTAAATGACAATCAAATATGCAATGCAATACATAGACCGGTACTCTCCAGTACCCGCTGCGGCGTGCAGCCCGCTCCATTTATTAATCGTCGACGGCGCTCACTGGGGGTGTGCAGACTCCGGGAGGGGCTCCTTACGGCCCAAGCGCAATAATAAGCCATATCGTAGCATCAACTAGGCCCTCAGCCTCGTATCAATATCAATTTCATACCGCTGCGGTGCGCAGCCCGATCCCATACTCAGTCCAAAATCACATAAGCCTCTCGGCCGCATTAATATAGAAATATTCAGCCCAAACTTCATTTAAAAATATTAATTAAGTTTCTAGTTTGAGAAAAGTAGCTAAGTTTGCAAAACAGTATTAAATTCTAGGACTGGTTTCAATGATATGTAGAAATGGTAAGAAACCAGTAACAACAATCCCTGAAGGATTTAATCAATTGGCACGAGGCCCAAATATAGCAATCCGCTCAATTAAAATAATAATAAGTGAATTTCAGTCAAATACGCAGTATATTCCCACGCTCGCTACCCGGCGTGCAAGTCACCTCAATATAGCACTACGATGTGCAAACACGGGGTTTCAAACCCTCAGAACAGCATTTACATCTATTACTCACCTCAAACCGGCCAAAATCCTAGCTCCCTATGCCCTTGCCTCTCAAATCGACATCCTCGCGCGTCGAATCTGACCAAAATCACAACGAATACGTCACATTATGCTATAGGATCAATACCCAATCGAAAATAATCGAAAAACATCAATAATCCCGAAATTAACAAAACCCGAGCCCCGGGCCCACATCTTGAAACTCAGAAATTTTTACAGAAAAGTGTTCTTCATCTTCTCCCGATTCCGTACATATAAAGAACACCAAAATCGGAGTCCGTTTGACCCCTCAAATCGACCCCTAAAGGTCTCATAATCTCAGGCCCCAAAATCCTATTTTTTTACTGTTTTTCATGAATTAAAGGCTGGGATTATGGTCTATAATCACCCATAAACGAGTTTTAATAATCAAATCACTTACCTCTGTGATACCCACTGATTTTCTCTCTTAAAAATCGCCTCAGAAGCTTCTTCCCGTTCAAAAATTGGAAGAAAACTCGACCCGCTCATTATAGGTATACTGTTCACGCGTTTTACTACTCCTAATGGATTCCTTGTGAAATTCTAATGAATTTAGGCTTTTGAATCACTCCATTTGACCTTATAATGAAGGAGATATGTAGGTTTAAGATTTGCAAATAGTGCAGGTTTTTAATACGCCATCAAGGGCAATTTCGTCATTAACCTGAAAATCTGGGCAACCTTGGTAAAATGGCCATAAAATCCTCATACGACGTCCAAATTCGACGATTATTTTTGCTACGGGTCCGTAATTACGATACGGATCTAATGCTTCATTCAAACAGTAATCGGAGTTCATTTGTTCAATATGATATCATTTATGCTTGAAGAAACGACGTCGAAGCATAAGAAAAACGAGCACAACGCAGCCCAAACCTATCCGAAACTCACCCGAGCTCCTCGGGACCGCATACGAACATAATAACACGTCACATATGATCATTAAAACTTAGTTTCACTCTCAAAATACCAAAACTAACATCAAAACACCAAATTTACATCGGATTCAAGCCTAAGTTCTTCTAAAAATTCCGAAACACACATTTGATCAAAAACCCAACCAAATCACCTCCGAATAACCTGAAGTTTTGCACACACATCCCAAATCACCTAACGAAGCTACAGCAACTCTCGGAATTCCATTCCGACCCTCGGATCAAAATATCACCTATCAACCGGAATTCGTCAAAATACTAACTTCGCCAATTCAAGCCTAATTCTACACCGGACCTCCAAAATCACTTCCGATCACACTCCTAAGTCACAAATCATCCCCCGAAGCTAACTGAATCGTCAGAATCCACATCCGAGCCCTCTAACTCATAGGTCAACATCCGGTTGACTTTTCCAAAACAAGCCTTCCTTAAAGAGACTAAGTGTCTCATTTCCTTCCAAAACTCAACCCAATTCAACTAGTTCACACAAGACACTGATAATGAAGCATAACGAAGCATGAAATGGGGAAAACGGAGTGGTTCTCATGAGACAACGGGTCGGGTCGTCACATATGTTAATCAATTTTTGTTATGAATCAAATTAACAAAATCACTAAGCTGATTTTTTTTTTGATTTTATGTTAAATGAAGTGCAGATATAGATTTTAACTTAGCTTAGATTGCAGATATGGATTTTAACTTGACAAGAGGGGTTGCTCTGATGGTAAGCAACCTCCATTTCCAACCAAGAGGTTGTGAGTTCGAGTCACCCCAAGAGCAAGGTGGGAAGTTCTTGGAGGGAAGGATGTCGAGGGTCTATTGAAAACAGTCTCTCTACCCTAGGGTAGGGTAATGTCTGCGTACAAACTACCCTCCCCAGACCCCACTAAGTGGGATTATACTGGGTTGTTATTGTTGTTGTTGTTGTTGTTGTTGTTGTTGTTGTTGTTGTTGGATGTACATTTTATGTGACCCGATCATAACAACTTCGAACAATAATAAAATAAACATGTCGTAAATCGTGGGTGCATTTCATGTAGCGTAGTTTGCAATATGTTCCCAAAACGACAAGTGTACGACAATCGTAACTTGTTCAAGAAATAATTCCATAAATCCTAAAAAGCGGTTAAATAATTAAAAGCAGTTTAAAAGGTTAAAAATGCACAATAGGTTTAAAACTTGTAATTAATCAGATAATTAGGCCAATTATTAATAGTTAAGCGACCGCGTTAGAACCACGGAACCCAGGAATGCCTAACACCTTCTCCCGGGTTAACAGAATTCTTTACCTAGTTTTTTCTGGTTTCGCATACTTTTAAATAAAGTCAATTCTTCTCGATTTGGGATTTAAAATAAATCGGTGACTTGGGACACCATAAATTATTCCAAGTGACAACTCTGAATAAATAAAATAATCCCATTTTGATTAATGTCACTTAAATTGGAAAAACTTCCTTATATCCCCCTCGGGTAAGAAGAACGTGTGACAGGTAAAAAGGAGGTGTGTGTAGCACCCCGAAAAATTTCGAAGTACTTAAGTATTATTAAGAAAGTTGATGTGTGCTAATTATATTATTTTGTATGCAGACGAGGACTATTAATATGATAGATATTAATTGAACATGATAATAAGTGTATGAGGTATATTATAAGTGATGTGGGGTCTAAGGATAGCCCTAAGTCCAAGTCAAGTTGGAAATTACATGGTAGACTAAAGTTCCAAATAAGTACACACAAGACCTAACTACATATGTATAAAGAGTTATGTGATAGACAACCTATCAAATGAAAGGCCTTTGAGTCTAGTTTCTAACTCTTCAAACCGTTTTTCATTTGGATATTCCTACAAGAAGTTATGACCAAATTATCAACGGCTGGCGGAGGAGCCTGCGGATGCGAAGCATCCAGAGCCGCGTCCGAAAGATTGACTGGCAGTGAAGTGCTGCCATAGCGTCCAAGGTCGCGTCCGAAGCCCAGAAATCTGGGCCTATTAATACCAAGTCGGGGGAGAGAGTATTTTGAGTATTGGGGGTTAGGGTTCTTGAGATGAAGGGGCGACTTTGAGCTCAAATCAAGTCCAATCAACTGAGGTAAGTTTTTAATGATGTTTTGGGTAGATATTACTCAATATACATAAGTTCTAACATCATTCTAATATCCAAATTCTAGATTTCATCATTAAATCCTCAAGAACACAAAAATCACTAAAGTTGTGATTTTTTATGATTGATCTACTATAGGTAATTCCAATGCTTCAAACTTGTTTATTATGAGTAGTTAGAAGTATTTGAAGTATTTGTTACAAGTTTTATTGATTGAAAAATTGGATAATAAAAATCTAATTCATGACATGAATAGTACTTTTGAGGAAATAAGAGAGAAGATGAATGGTGAATCTTGGGGATGAAATTGATTGAATACAATGAACCTGTGGAATTATTTGTTAGCAAAAGATGGAAGTGATCAACTAAATAATCATCCAAATTATATATGGTGCAAGTTTTAATTATGGAAGATGATGAATAGTAACTTGGTGGCATTGGGCAATGGATGTAGTAACATTAATGACTTCGAATGGGTATTAGAATAAGGACAAAGTTGAATGGTCTAGCGTATAAATTTATTTGGCGATTGGAGTTGTTGGAGGTTTGTAGCCACTTTATGAGCCATATATGGATATTTATTAATATCTTAGGTCATATTTTGATGTAATTAGGATATCTAATTGTCACGACCCAAAAATCCCTCTGAAGGAGTCGTGATGGCACCTAGACTCTAAACTAGGTAAGCCTAACATAAACTGAAATAGCATTGGTAGTTGCCAACTTTAAATTCAGTAACTCTTAACAATTTACAATTTCCAAAACCGGTGGTACAAGTAACAAGCCTATATAAGAGTAATTTCACAAAATAATACATCACTGCCCCGAAACAAAGGAGCAAATGTAAGTAAATCCAAATGAAGGTGACTCCGAGACCTGCGAACGCTGTAGCAGGTTTACCTTGAGTCTCCACCGCGATGACCCGCACGGCTACTATCAACCCACCTGGATCTGTACACAAAAATGTACAGAAATGTAGTATCAGCACTACCGACCCCATATGTTGGTAAGTGCCTAGCCTAACCTCGGCGAAGTAGTGACGAGGCTAGGACCAGGCTACCAAAAAAACCTGTGCAATATAGCGTACAAAATAATTAGAAGTAGATAATAATAGTGGCAACAATGATCAACCAGTGATATAAATAACAGGCAACAAGAACATCATAAATGTTTCTCAACAAATAATAAATACAAGTGCAATCAATTAATCAAGTCCTTTAAATATAAATCTTTCGCCTATAAATCCTTCAAGTAATAATCCCTAAGATAATATGCTTTTCAATAAATATATTTCGAATATATTTCCTTTTGAGTAAAGCTCACCCTGTGACGCCTCATTTCAAAATCATAAATAATATAGGTCTCAGCCCACTTTCACATTTTCACCGCACCTCGTGCCCATATTTATATCACAATCGCACGGACAACTCACGTGCCATTAAATAACACCATAATATTTTCCCCGGCACCTTGTGCCCACATATTTCTGTCTCACATTGCACAACAATATTCTCATATTACTCAGTTCATAGGTTCCATACCCAATACAATTAAGAATATTCAAGGAGCCTCATTCACTTAATATAAAATAGAGTACAACTTCCAACTCAATTAGGATATCAACAAGAAAAGATAAAGTTATTTTTAGAAATCATTTATTAAAGAAAATATCCATTTCAATTAAAGTACAATATCGAATAAATTATTACCTTTAATACAAGAAATCAATAAATCAAAACATAGTAGAAGTTTCCTTTTTAAGTAAAGTACAACCTCAAACGGTTTAAGGAAAATTTATTTGAGAAATCCAAGTTAAAAATGTAACAATTGTTGAAATTTGAAGTATTGAACATATAAAAAAATAAGGCGAGGTATTGTAAACACTATGGATTCCAACACAAAGGATCACAGCAGTAAAGGGATCTAAACAGTTAATACACTTGAATTGTTAATGACAAGTAAACACAGCAAATAGAAAGTGCACGGCATCACCCTTCGTGCTTTAACACTCTCTCACCAAAACAGTACACGGCATCACCCTTCGTGCTTAATACTCTCTCACCAAAACAATACACGGCATCACCTTTCGTACTTTACACTCTTCCTCACCCAAGCAACAAACACAAGGCAAATAGGGTGAGGGAATCTATAACATCGAAATAAAATCAAGTAACAACAGAAAATCATTAAATAAACGTAAAGGACAACATAACTCAATTAGAATCAGAAAAAAATCAAGGACAAGTTCACGACATCACCCTTCGTGCTTTTACTCTCGTCCTCACCATAAGAATCAATATAAACTGCACGGTATCAACCTTCGTGCTTTTACTCTCATCCTCACCATAAAATCAATATAATCGGCACGGAATTGTACATCGTGCGGCACGGCATCACCTTTGTGCTTTTACTCTCATCCTCACCATAAAATCAATATAATCGGCACGGAATTGTACATCGTGCGGCACGGCATCACCCTTCGTGCTTTTACTCTCATCCTCACCATAAAATCAATATAATCGGCACAGAATTTGTAAATCGTGCGGCACGGCATCACCCTTCGTGCTTTTACTCTCATCGTCACCATAAAATAAATATAATCGGCACGGAATTTGTACATCGTGCGGCACGGCATCACCCTTCGTGCTTTACACTCTTCCTCACAAAATCATACACGGCATCACCCTTCGTGCTTTAACACTCTTCCTCACCCAAACAACAATCACAAGAAATAAGGGCAAGGAAATAAATGAAATCACAATAAAATCCCGGCAAGGGAACAATAGTACAACAATCAAATCCCGGCAAGGGAAACAACATCAAAACAATAACATCCGGCAAGGGAGACAATATCATGTTCTCTCTCTCCTTTCTTCTTTCACGTTTACTTCACAACTTGAGCCAATGCTCTACAATGTTCAACAATTCAATTCTCAACTTGAGCCAATGCTTTATAATGTTCAACAATTCAATTCTCAACTTGAGCCAATGCTCTATAATGTTCAACAATTCAATTCTCAAGTTGAGCCAACGCTCTACCATGTTCAACAATTAAATTCTCAACTTGAGCCAAGCTCTACCATGTTCAACAATTAAATTCTCAACTTGAGCCAACGCTCTACCATGTTCAATTAACAATAATACCTCCACAAGTCATATTCCTCAATAGGAATTATCATATAGAGCATATACAATATGTCACACCTCCTTTTTCACTTACTACATCCCGTGAAGGGTATAATAAAAGGGGATTTTTCCAATTAAAGGACAATCGAAACGGAATTCGTTTATTAAGAGATTCAGAGTCGCCACTTCGGAGATTTATGGTGTCCCAAGTCACCGGTTTGAATCCCGAATCGAGGAAAGTGTTTGACTCTGTATTAACAGTCGCGAACCAGAAATCCGGGTAAGGAATTCTGTTAACCCGGGAGAAGGGGTTAGGCACTCCCGAGTTCCGTGGTTCTAGCACGGTCGCTCAACTGTCATATTTGGCTTAATTATTTGATTTTAGTGCATGTTCAAACCTATGTGCATTTTCAGAATTTACCCGCTTTTAATTAAATAATTTTTAAGAAAGTGAACGCCGTTTAAGAGCGTATTTTTGGATCACGTCACATGAAATGCACCCGGATCCTTGACACCTCTTATTCAACGTTTTGGGATTTGGATTTGGGTCGCATGAAATGCACACCCGTAGTTAAGAAGGTAAAATTATTAAAAAAAAACACGCCTAAAGCGAACTACGAATGTAAGCGAGAAAGTCCGAGATCATTGGGGGTTCATTTATATTTTGGTGAAGCACAAGAAGACATATCAGAATGACAATTTACTGCTTTTACAATTCCAGAAACAAAAGTACCATTTCTTGAAGCCAAACTTCGATAACCCAGCGCGAAAGAGCAAAACAGTTTCTTTCAAAATCATAAAAGAACATTATTTAAAACAACAAATCAAACTAAGCAAACTGTTATGAAGGGCATGGCTTATAATTTCAATGCCCAGATCCTTAGCCTTCTATTGATGAACAGAGGATATCCCCTTTTAATTTTTCAAAAATGACTGAATCTTATTCATAGTTTCAGAATATTGTGCATAGAAGACACATTATGAAGAGACTAATTCTAACAGGACAATGGGTAAAGTTATCAACCAACAGAACCTCTTACCCTTGACTGCCCTTATGAAACTTATCAATTATAACTTAGTATTCCAACAGAGTTCAAAGGAAAGTCCTGATTGGGGCAAGGAAACTAACACATCTATCAATAAACAGGATTAATCAAAGATGCAATTTGACACTAACAAAGTAATTGAGAGAGCTTAGACAGATATCCATGGTCAAATCTTCATTTAATAACAGGAACATTGCCGAAATTACCAACAAAACACATGATCGATGCATACCCATATTAACAACCAAAGAAACAATGATCTGATTTCAAGAAATCTTCAGAAGAACCAAGGCATTCAACTTGCATTTGAACCCAGATATTTCCACTTTATATTGACCATACTATCTCAAGACACCTCCAGGAAAGACCCCATGTGTTGAAACGTGGACAGGAAGTTCAGTAAGATAATTAATGGAATTCATTCTCAGGGAACGCATAGGAAACAAGATAATCAGTAACAATTCAACCCTGCGATCGATCAAGTTCTCAAAGAGGAGGACAGATTGAAGTTTTTCTAAAAAAAACGAAGAGAAACTCAAAGGGCAGATTGAGAGGACTTTGTGAACATGCTACTTTCCTCCTAGAAATGGACAATGAACTCAATTATCCAAACAGGAGAAACCAATCAACCTGCTACTTACAGAAGAGAAGGGATGTCATATAGAACCTCATCCATGTCCTATCACCTTTAAAGCAAAGCTCTAAACAACACAAAAAAAAAAAGGAAAACATCTAAGAGCCAGCTTGTTTTTGACGAAATTTAAGTTAGGTTTCATATGTAACTTCCCCAGACTCAGTCACCTTATGGAATCCAATCCAAACAATAGAAGACGACGAGCATAAAGACTAAAATAAACTCATGTTGAAGCAAACGATAACCAACAAATCCTATATCACATGGACACAACAAAACTATAATTCAAACTAGCAGAAATTGCAACTGAAGCTACTCAGATGCGCAGCAAACTGGACGAAAACACGTTAAGGAACTGAACTTGCAATATCCCTTTATTACAACTTTAGGTCACAACCCCTGAATCAAATTCTCAGCCAACAACACTCCAAATCAGTTTCCATTTGTATTCACATTTCCATAAAAAAAAAAACAGAACCACTCAAACAAACATATACAGACTCAGAAAACCAACTCGAAGCTCAACCAAGCATCACAAAATTGTTCAGTGATGTTAATTTTTACTTCTCAGGTATCCAGAAATCGATTCAAACAAACAAGACATTTCAGCTCACACAAAATAGAAAAATAGGAGAGTTTGGAAGTGAACCTGAAAATGAACTTTCGACTAATGCAATTTAATGATTACAACGATTCTCAGAGGAAGCGAGTCCAAACAGGAATTGCAATGAACTCACGAATCAGCAGCTAAACGAATAGCGTTGGAGCAGCTTGAAACCAACAGCACTCAGTCGACTTCCATTAACTCAAAATGAAATTCAGAAAATGAGCTCAGCCTTCAAGCTCAAACCAGACTCATCATGAAAATGAAAACTTCTGAACTTCAAGATGAAAAGAACAAAGGGCTAAGATTAAAACGAAAACAATTTTTTTTTTGTATTTTTCTATTGTAACTGGAATTAAACCAAGATGGTTTCAGATGAATAAAAGAGAAAAGAAGCTTAATTCGAATCCTAATTTCCAGGTGACCTCTCCTCTCTCCAAAAATCCCTCCGAATAATCCCTCTTTACAAAATTGGATCCGGTCCCTTTTGAAAACGAGCCCCTGATGAATGTGGGGCTCGGATTGAGTAAAATCAATCCAACGCCTCACACTCATCCAACGATCGTTCTCCAGAACCTTCCAATCGCGTGCTATATCTCGAAATCGGGCGAGTCAGAGGAGGGGCAATCTTTGGTGTCAGAAACCGTTAGAATATTTGGTGACGTGGTGAGATGGGGGGTGCGTGAGGTGAGTTTGGCTCACTCGCCTGAAATTTGGCGAGTTTGGACGAGGATTTAGGCTTGTTGAAGAAGAAGAAGAGTGTTCGTCGTTTGGGTCTTGGGAGATTTAGGGCTCTGTATTGGGGCAAATACATGGGGCTCATATGTGAAGGTTTGTGGGGCAGGTCGCATCTGGGCAGACGGGCTGGGGCGGGTTGTGTGCTGAGCTAGGCGGGTAAAGGGGAAATGGAATTGGGCTTAACCATTGAATTGAAATCAGCCCAAGATTTAATTCACATCTTTTGCTTCCTCTTTTTCATTTCTTTCCTTTTAATTCCTTTTAAATTAAAACTAAAAATGAAACAAAAATTAATTCCTAAATCAAATTGTCTTACCACATTAAATTAATTGAACTCTAAATTATGATTAACACAATTAATTAAAAACCAAATTAAATAAAAATTACCAAAGTTCAACAATTAAAATTAAAAATGCAAAAATAAACTATTTTTGTGATTTTTCCATTTTTATAAAACAATTAATTTACTAATTAATACTAAAAATGTGAAAATAGATCCTAAATGCAAATGAAATATATTTTTGTGTTTTTCATTAATTAAATAAAATAAACGTGCACAAACAAATGCAGACAATTGACAAAAAATGCCACAAAAATCCACAAAATTGCAAGCAATGATAGAAATTATTTTGTTTTGAATTTATGGGACTAATTCATATAGGGCAAATATCACGTGCTCACAGCTGCCCCTCTTTGCTCGGAAACACGAAGAGTTTTCGTGCAAAGATAAAGTGAGTGGATACGAGCGATTTTTGCCCGTTTGAATACTCCGTGGGAAGCATTTTTGAAAGATTTGACTGCACCCTGCTTCTGAGGTTGCCTACATATCCTTGGCTATAAAGGAATCAGGTCAGTGTAGTTCGGGAATGTTTGGTAGCTGGGACTACCATGAAGCTGTGATTTCACTGTTGCTGCTGCTGCTACTGCTTACTGAACCCCTTATTACACCATGTCAAAGATAAAAAGAAGCTAGACTAAAACTATGGTCTATGAATTACAAACCTATCTATCTCTTCAAACTTGATCCTGCAGCTCTTGTTGCCATGCTGACTTGTATTCTCCCGGTGAAATCCCTTTGTTGTCGACTTGAATTGTACTTGTAGATGCTTTCCCTTTTTCCAGGTGGAGGCCTGACTACTAAACTTGAAATGTATTCCCATGCTCTCCAGGCGGGCTCCTGACTGCTAAACTTGAAATGTATTCCCATGCTATCCAGCCGGGCTCCTGACTGCTAAACTTGAAATGTATTCCCATGCTCTCCAGGCGGGCTCCTGACTGCTAAACTTGAAATGTATTCCCATGCTCTCCAGGCGGGCTCCTGACTGCAACAAAATAAACAAAAACAAA